CACAAGACACTAGTACACTTCATTTTATAGCTTAATTTTTCTGCCATAAAATTGAGTAGAGAATGCGGTAAATTACCTTTAAATTTTCATAATAATTACTATAATATATACGTAGAAAAGTTTAGGCAAGCCGGAGGGAAACGAATTATATGGACGCCTCGCCATTGGTCTATATGCCAAGTTTTGGGTGAAATTCAATAAACCGGATTCATCTATATATATTTAAAGTTGTTTAAAGAAAAGAAAAGGTAACAAAGAAGACTGTAACAATAAAAGGTATAATAGAAAACGGGTACATTATTACAAAACGCTTCCTAACTTAATGATGATAACTTACCCCAAAAGGGCCGAGATATACTGAATTACAGATACGTATTCATAGGTACATGATAAAGACTGTAGTGGTTATAAACTTATTAAAATTGGTACTTGATTTAGATTTAATAATGATTATAAACTTAGTAAAGGAATCAAAATTAGACGCGATTGAATTTAAACAGCTCCGTAAGCTGTCGCGATCGAGCAGGGAGTGACGGTGGAACAAAACAAAATCAGAATGCGGGGCAAAAAGCTATGAAACTATTCAAAGTTTAAAATTAAATACGAGTGGCCAGGAACCGGAGAAAGGCGATAAAAAGGTGGAATGACGATGTAAGTCACCCCGTCTAAACCCTCAGAAGTGGAAGATTTTCTTCAAATTGGAATGGGACCACTGCTGAAATACGCCCTTTTCAACAAAAAAAGAATGAACGAAATAGCTTCACAAATGTTAGAATAATCACGCAACATGCACAGAAAAATAATAAAGACGAATTGAAAACATCCTCCATTTTTGAAATCGTTTAAGAAATATATGAATGTCATAGTTTGTAACAAAACATCGTGATATTCAGTAAATAAATATTGCAAAATTATCAGTCGGCTTAGTAAAATTGTGAAACCTTTGCTACCAGGCTATTATCATTATTATCTATAACCTTTATAATTATTATTATTCTAATTGCAATTTCGTAATAATCTACTGGCATATTTTACCTTTAATTGCTTATCAATAAAAGCCTCTATAAAGATGCTATTTTATAAAGAAGGTAGGTTTTTTATTAGGGTGTAACGCTAGTCACTATCACCTGTCCAGTCATTTTCATTTAAAATAATACATTTGTCGTCGGCTTACGTAAGATATTTATAGTCCAAGTTACAGGTATTTAATGGAATATTGACATTCCTATCAAAATTCCGGCCCGGAAAAATAAATATTAGGTATCATTTGCTTCTATCGTGAGATTTTTTGCAGGATGTTTTCCTGTAAAAAACTAAACTAAACTAAATGGTATAGAATTAATACAATTTTATGAACAAGAATGAATCACACAAAGCAACGTGTTTTGTTTACTTGTTTGTTGTTTTTTATTATTTTTTTATAGAAAAATAAGTGCGTATTACTTTGACCTCCATCTCTTGATGGAATGTTACGATGAAGCCATGCACTTTACCTTTTCACTCTCGCCTTGAAAAGGCTCAAGTAATAGCATTTAGGGAATAAGCCTGCAGGTAGGGAATTCCACTCCATGCAGTCGTCCACATAAATGTGGAAGCGAAATGCTTTATGCGTATCCTTGGAATTAAACCATGCAATTCTATGGCATGATATGGTAGAACACTCACTTGCTAAATACTTAGCATAGGTTCAAGTATAATTTGTTATATATAGTATATAAAGATATATTTGAATTAGAATTTTAAATATCCTTTTTCACAATATTTCGTCTGAAACTAACACTTATTGATCTATGTCGTCGTCGTCGTCGACTTCATCGTCACTTTCCACCAGTTGAGATGGAGGTCAAATGCGCACTTATTATTTTATAAAAAAAACAGCGAGTCTGGCTGATTTTGAAATTAGATGTTTAAGAGTGTAATTCCACCGGCGAGACGAGAAGAGACGAGGCGAGATGATTTTTAAAACTTGTATGGCAAAATACCAATTCTCTCCTAGCGCATCTTCGGTGGAAATGATCCGGATTGACGAGGATGGGCGAGACGAGATTTGAAATATTTGTTGATGTAACATTCAACCGTATTGCTGCCTACATCAACTCTTTATTACTCTGCAACGGAAACACGATTCACGATGTTTCGTACGATATCGCGCGTGTTCGGGAGTGTTCGCGTGTGGTCGCGCATGCTCGCGATGACTATTAATGTCAATCGCGAGATTGTGGGATACAGTCACGTACATTGAAATGTAAACGTTCACACATTTTCGAAATTTTGTGAATATTACATATTTCAAAAAAATGTACCATGTGCTGTTTTCATAAATATGTAATCACGACACCATTTTCAAAAAGGTATACTTTTATTTCAGAGGAAAATAAAGAAACTACAGTCAATGAAAAATATATAGTCCTGGTGTCATACATGTATCCATATCATTTTCGTAAATATTTATACAATGCATATTACCATTGTTTTTTATCGTTCTTGTTCATTGAATAAATAAATAAATAAATATATTTATAATTGCATCAAAATGTACACGATTAGGATTGTGATTTTATCATAATTATATAACCACTTTTAAAACATTGCATTGTTTTCAAAAATATATACACAATATAGTTGTAATATATTGCAATGTAATAATATATTGCAATGTGAACATACCACCGCCAGTTGTAAACTTTTTAATATTTGCCCTGGGATAAAAGATTATAAAAAAAAGTTATTTTCGAAAAAAACAGCACTGTGTCTTCACTTCCCATAACCATAGCGCGAGCTCGCGACGACAATTTTTGGTGGCAATAGGTCGGCGAGATTTCAATTCTCGCATCGCCTCGTCTCTTCTCTCCTGGCCGGTGGAAAAGCACTTTTAGAATCGATACTAACTCAGCTTGAATTCAAAATGTCCCATACTAACACGGTTCATTTTGCTTGAATCGAGTGGCAGGGCAATAAAGCCAGCTTTATTTCTGAATTTATTTTTTCACAAAAGCCATTTGAGAAATTTATATCGTGTATACTATACGTGTTCTGTTTAATACAGTTAATACAAAAAAAAATCCATTGGTACATTTAAACTGTCTATTGAATTCAGCGGTTTTGTTGTAAAATTTCGAGGTTAGTTTTTGTTTCTTATCTATCGACAAAATTTTTAGGAATGTCGACACTTTCACCGTTATGCGAAATCAACCAGAGCCACTTGAGGTTATAGACTCTTACAAATTCAGAGTGGAAGGCTGACCACATCCTGCCTTAAGACAACTGTAACATCACTCAATGCTTAGTGGCAGTACTTGAGGGCGTTTCCCACCTACAGAGTTCCGCCTAAAAATTTACAATACTGTCTACCGTAAGCCGTCGAGTTTGTTATTGTGTAGTTCCAAAAACTCCTCAGCGCTCCAGTGTGTTGAGCTCGTTATCGAATTGCCTCTATAATTAATTAAATAGTGCCTATAAAGAAGCTTGATAACAAACTAACTAACAGTATTAGATATCAAAAAGTAAGTTTACGTAATTAACCATTACAACAAGTTGAATTAACACTTGTTTCAGATCATTGGAAGTAAAAATTGGTACCTACTGAATAGTGAATAGTGATAGTTTTCAGTTGGAAAAATTTAAATGGAGACGTGTCAGTACAATGTTATTAGTGGTACGAAACGGGAGTTGAGCAGTAAAGAGATTTTTTGGAAGCCTTTTTGTAGGCAGGTGAGTGATTAAGAAATTTATAGTTAGCGCATATCTAGGCTTGCAAGAAGTGTTTATTTTCATAAAGAATCAGTGCTGGTATCTAGACCCAAGGACAAATATCATCATCACCAACTCATTTATACGTCCCGCTGCTGGGCACGAGCTTCTCTCAGGCGAGGGTTTAGGCCATAGTCCGCCACGCTGCGCTGGCCTCATGCGGGTCGGAGACTTCACACATTGCCCGAGGGTTGTGATTTGTGAACATTCTTCGACTTGTAGGTTTCATCCAGGATGTTTGCCTTCAAAATCAAAGGGGAGTTATTAGCCGGTGTTGTTCACGTCCGTATGCTGTGGCTCTAGATTCCCTATACGTGACTCCGGTAGTGCCAAATGAACAACTGATTCCTTAAGATCTCAGGTAGTGAGCCTTTACGATGGTCTCATGTAATATCCAAATATCGCCTAGCTTGGTGGCAGAGCCCTCATAGGACTCGACTGGTTAGCGACCACTCTCGCGTCGGAATCTGTCGCAAAGCACCTTTGGGTGTGTTCTGACTGTGCGCGCGAGTACCAGCTCCTGCTGAAAGTGCCGCTTTGATGTGGGGGCCAGGGAGACCCGGTGAAACGGTTGTCCGCTGGCCGCCCGCTGGTGGTACGCAGAGGACCCAAACCCGGGCTTATCCCAGCCAAAGAGGCTGTCCTGCCGCCAGTGGTAAAAACCTATGAGTTGGTCTTCGTGCCGGACTGGGACCCCAGAGTGGAACCCGTCGGCCAAACTTAGGTTGGACCGGGGGCCCTTCCGTCCCCCACGCCAGGGAGGTGCTACACTTGGTGTTCCAGGGTGGAATATGGTCTATTTTTATACCCAAGTAACTGTTGAGATTGCGGCAATCCACTTCACCCTCCCGTTACATGTTTCTATGTATAGCTGCTAAAAAAAATGGAAAAACGTTTATACAGCAGCGCCCTGTGCCACTTTAAATGTGGACTTTTGCAACATCAGGGGACTTCACTCTAACTTGAATGACGTTCATCACCATCACGAGACGTCCAAGCCAGCCTTATTTTTACTGACGGAGACGCAGATATCTACCCCGTCTGACGTATCGTATCTCATGTACCCCGGATACAGTCTGGAATACAAGTTTGTTTCTCAGGCTGGGGTGTGCACGTATGTTCGGGATGATATCTGCTATCGCCGTCTAGGCAGTTTCGAAGACAGGCACCTGTCTCTACTCTGGGCGCGTGTTGATTATGGGGGCCACACCTATATCTACGCGTGCCTGTACATGTCTCATAGCGGAGACTAGGAAACTGACCGCCTCCTAAGGTGCGTCCAAAAGGGACTCGACGGAATCCTGCAACAGCTTTCCTCAGTGGAGGTGTTGGTTCTCGGCGACTTTAACGCCCACCACATGGAGTGGTTAGGATCAGCACGTACCGATTATACAAGGAGAGCTGTGCGCGAGTTTGCGCGCACACTCGCAAAATTGGCGAAAAACTACTTGGCCATCCATCGGGTAGCCGTGCCTTCTGGTCCCTCGCCAAGGCTGTTCAGGGAAACTTCTGTCGAGTTTCGCTACCACCATTACGCAGGCCTGATGGTTCACTGGCTTATTCCGCTAAAGACAAAGCTGATCTCTATGCTCTCTTCTTGCGTCGAACTCTACTCTTGACGACGAGGGTAACTCACCGCCTACTATCCCGCGGTGTAAGTATACAATGCCCGAAATTCACTTCACGCAAAATGCGGTACAGCGTGCTCTTTTTGTCCTCGATGTCAAGAAGTCCAGTGGACCCGATGGCGTTCCTGCTATTGTGCTCAGGACGTGCGCTCCCGAATTGACTCCGGTCTTAACGCGCCTCTTCTCGTTTTCGTACCACTCAGGTAAAGTCCCGTCTTCGTGGAAGATATCCTGCGTTCACCCCATACCCAAGAAGGGTGACAGTACAGACCCGTCCAACTATCGGCCTATAGCGATAACCTCCTTGCTCTCCAAGGTGATGGAGCGTGTAGTAAACAACCAGCTTTTAGATTACCTCGAGGATCGCCAACTTATTAACGACCGCCAGTACGGCTTTCGCCGCGGTCGTGGTGCTGTTGATCTTCTTGTATATCTCGCACATCAATGGGCAGCTGCCATCGAGAGCAAGGGGGAAGCAATGGCCGTGAGCTTAGACATCGCTAAGGCTTTTGATCGGGTCTGGCACAAGGCACTTCTGTCGAAACTACCATCTTACGGGATTCCAAAAGGGCTGTGCATTTGGATCGCCAGCTTCCTGTCTGAGCGGAGCATAAAAGTCGCTGTGGACGGGTTGTGCTCGGACACCATGCTCATCAACGCCAGCGTTCCGCAAGGATCTGTGCTATCACCAACTCTGATCATCCTGCATATCATTGATATGTTATTAACTAGTAACATTCATTGCTATGCGGATGACAGTACCGGTGATGCCTATTATACAGGTCGCACAAATATGCCCCACCAACAAGTGGAACAAAACAGACTGCAACTTGTGTCCGAAATCGAGACTTCTTTGGAGCAGGTCTCAGAATGGGGCCAACAGAATTTAGTAAAATTTAACCCCGCAAAGACACATTCGTAATAGCGCCAAAGTTCCATAACACTGTCCTTACCATCTCTAAGAATATTGGGATACTTGGAGTCGACATCTAGAGCGAAGTCCAGTTCCGGAGTCATTTGGAGAGCAAAGCCAAACTGGCTTCAAAAAAGCTCCGAGTGCTCAATAGAGCGAAGCAGTACTTCTCTCCAGAGTTTTGATAAAACACGAGTACGGCCTCATATGGAGTATTGCTCGCATCTCTGGGCAGGAGCTCCCAAATACCAGCTTGATCCACTTGATTCTATCCAACGTAGGGCTGTTCGAATTATCGATGATCCCAAACTCACAGACGGTATAGAGCCCCTTAGCTTACGGAGAGACGTTGGCTCTCTGTGTGTGTTCTACCATCTTTATAATGGGGAGTGCTCTGAGGAACTTTTCGAACTGGAGCCACCGTCTCGTTTCTACCATCGCACCTCCCGCCAAAGGAGTAGAGTCCATCCCCACATCTTAGATGCCTGGCATTGTAAGACCACACGGACATCTCGTTCGTTTCGCGAACCTGCAAGATGCGGAATGATCTTTCTCCTGAAGTGTTACCTTTGCGCTATGACCTGAGGTTCTTCAAAAAGCGTGTTTACAGGGCTCTCAAAGGCTGGCAACGCATAGGCAGCTCATCTGATGTTGCAAATGTCCATGGGCGACGATGACCACCTCCCATCAAGTGAGTCGTCGGCTCGTTTGCCTCCTTCTTTGCATATAAAAAAAATGTAAAAGCCTTGTGCCTGTTGGTAAGCGACATACCTGTCCCTAACAGTTGCAGTGCTACTCAAAGTCTTAAGTCACAAAAATCTGTGGGGCACTGCCACTGCGTCCGGCACCTTGAGGCATAAGTTGACAAGTCTCATGTGCCTGTAATTTCACCAGCTCCCTTAACCCTTCGAAAGCGGAACAAGCTACTATATTATGTCCCATGGCCGGCAACATGGTAGACCAGCGTCTAATCAAGATACAGGTGGACCGCCTATTTGCTAGTTATAAAAATCAAGAAAATATGTAATAATAAATGTACGAGCCAACCACACCAATTACCTTATCTCAAACTATAGATTTCCCTTTACTATGTGTACCACAGTTGGAGGGATCAGGAGAGGAATTATCGTGAAGGCACTTTGCACATCCAACATTCAGTTCATATAATGTCACAGTTTTGTTTTTGAATTCACAAAAACGTACATGCACTTTTTTTTATTACGAATGAAATTTTAAGCGAGGTGTTTTTGAAAGAGTTTTGTTGATTATTTTAAATATCACTTGCGTACACTAGTCTTCTTAAGTTTTTGAGCTCGTGACGGTTTTTGATGAACAAAAAAATAAACGTTATTATGTAATGAATAATTATAGAGGGAACTGAGTTACTGAATAATGCCGCAGCCAAGAGTAATGAAAAGTATACCAAGGTCACCCAGAATAGAACCAATTTAAAAAAGGTCGTTGCCCAAATTGGTACTTAGATCTAACCTTTTTTTTTTTGGTAACGGTGGGGAATCCTTTATGGATACCCCCGAGCCCGGGCGGCTCGGAGGTTATGTGGGAGTCCCGGCGTCCTGAAAAGGGCGCTGCTCCTGGGTCTACATGGACCCAGGGGTATACCCACTAAACCCCATCGGTTTGCCTCTCGCCGGGTTTGTGCCGGCGCCGTGGGATCATCTCTATTTCACCACGACGCCGCCCGGCCGCCCCGGCCACTATGCCAGGGCTCCCGCGCCTATGGAGGAGAGGATCGGTTTTCTCCGCCCCTCTTCCCAGACGATTGAGGCCGTGCAATGCGAACAGGGGGCCCTAGTCCCTGTCCGCTGGCCTCAGTGGGGAAGGAGTTGAGCGGCAAATTGCCGCCGCCTCCTTCCCGCCCGTCTGCGCCGGAGCGGGGGTGCGTCAGGCGCGTCCTCGCTCTCCCGCTCCGCCGCCTCCATTTGCGTCATCACTTCCACGCAAAAGGAGGCCACCGCGTCCCAGGACCTCTCGTCCCGCAGCATGGCCGCGACTACGCTGGGCAGCGAGAGGTCCCTCCCTATTGTCGCCACCAGAGTGCGGCGCCGCTCGATCCACCGGCAACACACCTCGAGGGTGTGCTGCGCGGTGTCATCCACGGCGCCGCACTCGTGACACGACGGGGACGCCTCCCTCCTCGCCACCTTGTGCAGGTAGTGACCGAAGCAGCCGTGCCCGGTCAGGATCTGCACAAGGTGGTACGACAGTGGCCCGTGGGACCGGTGTACCCACTCAGTGAGGACAGGGCGGATCGCCCCTATGGTTCTAGCTCCATAGGGGGGATCCGCCAAGCCCTCTTTCCACCGGTCCCGCATGACTTAGATCTAACCTTTTTTTTTTTTTTTTTTAACGGTGGGGAATCCTTTATGGATACCCCCGAGCCCGGGCGGCTCGGAGGTTATGTGGGAGTCCCGGCGCCCTGAAAAGGGCGCTGCTCCTGGGTCTGGCATGGACCCAGGGGTGTACCCACTAAACCCCATCGGTTTGCCTCTCGCCGGGTTTGTGTCGGCGCCGTGGGATCATCTCTATTTCACCGCGACGCCGCCCGGCCGCCCCGGCCACTAAGCCGGGGCTCCCGCGCCTATGGAGGAGAGGATCGGTTTTCTCCGCCCCTCTCCCCAGACGATTGAGGCCGTGCAATGCGAACAGGGGGCCCTAGTCCCTGTCCGCTGGCCTCAGTGGGGAAGGAGTTGAGCGGCAAATTGCCGCCGCCTCCTCCCCGCCCGTCTGCGCCGGAGCGGGGGTGCGTCAGGCGCGTCCTCGCGCTCCCACTCCGCCGCCTCCTTTTGCGTCATCACTTCCACGCAAAAGGAGGCCACCGCGTCCCAGGACCTCTCATCCCGCAGCATGGCCGCGACCACGCTGGGCAGCGAGAGGTCCCTCACTTAGATCTAACCTGTATTAACCATATCTAAGACCCTTAAGCGTGAAACACGCTGGCAGCGGGTGCGAGTTAGGCGCATGTCGGTTCGCACGGCGAGTGTAATTCCGTGTATTCATATAAACTCTGCACGGGCGCAGGGCACCCGACACGCGCCCGACCCGCCCCGTTTTCTGTGTTTCACGCTTAATTGCTAATCGGCCGTCGAAATCGTCATAATGAATGTTTATATTATCAGTTTCACTAAACTTAAACAATGTTTGATTGATCGAAAACTACTAAGCTATTTTGAAATTGGCATACTAAAAATATAAGGTGGCTCTATTTATGTGTCCGGGAATGTATTTGTTAATTTATCTCCTCATCTCCTCTCCTTATTTTTTGACTTAAAAAAAGAGGAGGCTCTCAATTCGACGGTAGTTTTTTGTGTGTATATGAACTCCGATTACTCCGATGTTTGTGAACCAATTTCTATAATTATTTTTTTTTGTTGAAAAGAGGGTATCCCTTTAGTAATCTCATTCAAATTTGAAACAAATATTCCACGTCTAAGGTTGAAAAATTAGATTATGGATCCGGTTTATTATTCATTAACCGATTTCAATAAAACCTGGCATATATGTAGATGTAATTCCACAATTTTTAAGATCGGTTACAAAAAAAAATATAATTATTTAGTAAACAATATGCTAATGTATTTGAAAATATTTCTATTTTTAGCTATTCCTGTGCAGCGCTCTATGGATGTCCTACTTCTCGGCGGGACTGTGCCTCGGTGCGCCTACCGTTGTGATTCCACAAATAAGACGACAGATTTCCCATGACGCTATCAGCGAAGAAATGGCATCTTGGTTATGTATGTTTCTAACTTATTTACATTACTGTTACATAAAGTAACATTAATACAATTAATCTATATAGATAGAGGTAGTTAACTAGAGGTAGATCTAATTAATTTATAAAATACAATATACATGAAACATGAACTTAGCAGCAGTAGAGCTCGTTGTGAAAGAGTTCGTCCAGGGAAGTACTGTGTCTCAGCGTGACGGTGGCACTTGTATTACTCTACTCTTGGTAGCACTGCAACTGTTATGGACAGGCGTGTAGCTTACAATCAGGCGCACGACTCGTTCGTCCCTTTACTTGATATTATAAAAAAAAAAGACACTTCAAAATTTTCTTCGTGTTGCTATAAATAAGAAATCGCCATTTAATTATGTCATAAAATTGCAACAATGATTTCAAATTCTGTCACAGAAGGGTTATATTGCGGCGCATTCCACTACTGAATATCCACATAATGTTTTACGTCCACCAACACATTAATATTTTTTTTTTTCGACAATATTACTTTAGGTGATACTAAACTACACCATAATCGTCAACCCATTCATGCGTCCCACTTCGTGCACGGGTCACGGGTCACGAGGCACGGGTCTTCTCTCAGACGAGCTCTAGCCCAATGCGGGTTGGGGACTTCTCACGTTTTCCACGTTTTGCAGGTTTCGTAACGATGTTTTCCTTCACCGAAAGGCTCATTTCGTGAATTTCGCTAATCCGTAAATTTCAAAATTAATATTAATTCCGAAAAACTCAGACCCGTGAGCCCAGATTCGAACCCACCTACCACGGCTTTACAATTCTATTAAATTCTATCACGGTTTATTCCACAACGTTTTCGACTACTAAAATTCCACATTCCATTTTTCGTCTAGCATCACATACTTTATATTAAAATGAATATTAACCGAATAATAATATTAATTTAAATATTAGAAACAAAATAGTCGCAGTAACCCTAAATGATGTTGAGAAGTAATACGTAAAATGTACCCGCTATACTCGATTCAAGCGGGACGTCATCACGTCGCGAACTGATGGCCAACGCCCAAGCGCGCTTAAGCGGTGTGATTCTCATCCCTTGGACTATGAGTCAGGCACTGGTATGGGACGCCACATGTACCAACACACTTGCCCCATCCCATCTCCAGCAACCAGCAAGAGGGCTGGCTCCGCAACCGAGCTGGCGGAAAGTATAGAAAATAATAAACACCAGAACCTCGGCTCCGAGTACCTATTTACCGCCTTTGGAGTTGAAACCCTTGGCCCGTGGGGTCCCGGTACCCTTCTTCTGTACAAAATTTTATCCAAAGAATTAATAGACTCTCTGGGAAACCCAAGGGCCGGCAGCTACCTTGCCCAACGCATTAGCATAGCCATACAAAGGGGGAACGCTGCTAGCATCTTGGGCACCCTGTCGCGGGGACCCAATTTTATTCATAAAATATAATCCTAGTTTTATTTTCTAGTATTTAAGTTTTTATTGTACCTTACCTTATTGTCTAATAAAATTAATCTGTAATTATGTTCTCTACTTTATTTCCAGCATCAGCGATGACCTACAGCACATTGCCCTGGGTAATCATCCTTCTAATCTGCACCCGTTTCGTCGGTCGTCGACCACCTTACATCTTTGCGATTTTCGCCTCCATCATCAGCTTCATCATCCTGTACAAAGGGACTAACGTTAACCATTTCCTGATAAGTCAGTTAATCCAGGGAATCCTTTTCGGATGTGACCTCACCGTGTCAACTATCATGGTCTCAGAATACGTCTGGCCTAAATACAGAGGCACGTTTCTAACTCTTAAGGCAGCGAGTTTGTTCTGGGGCGTGTGGGTGTCGAATGCAATAGGAACCTTCTTCCATTGGAACTACATTGGCCTATTTGGACTCATATGTAGTTGTTACTATGTAACTGTTTTCTTCTGGTCTGAATCTCCTTACTGGTTAGCTTCGCAAGGAAGGTTTGAAGAGTGTATCAAAGGACATAGATGGTTAAAAGGTGAAGGCCCGGATTCAGAAAAAGAACTGGAGAAGCTTTTGGAGTCGCAAAAGGAGTTTTTGAAAAACTCCATGATACGAGTCACAGTTAGCGATAGAATTAAAACCTTTGCACAAATGTTTACATTAAAAGAGTTTTATAAACCAGTTTTACTATCCATTTTGATGTTTGGAATATACCATTCTTTAGGAAAGTTAGTAGTTGGAATGTATTCTATAGAAATGATAAAAAGTATGACAGATAGTGAAGCTGCGGCCTATACAGGCATGCTTATTGTAGACGGAGTCAGTGTACTCGGTCTCTACATAGGTTGTGCATGTTCTACATTCTTAAAACGTCGTACATTGCTCCTAGGTACTACAACTATAAGTATAATACTCCTTTTCACGATGTCATTGTATTTGTGGTTAATCGAATTGTCATTTGTAGGTGAAAATAAGATATTAACGATTGCGTTGTTGTCGGCATATTCCATGATGGTGGCTGGCGGTCCAACAATACTCTCCACGTCGATTTATGGTGAATTGGTACCTTTGAGATTTAAAAGTTCAGGCGTAACTGTTATTATTTTGGTACACTTCTCCACCATGGCGACATTGTTCAAAATAGCACCATTAATTTTTAAAACCGTTGGTGTCCGTGGAACTTTTTTATTATATGCTACCGTGTCTTCATTTTTCGCCTACCTGTTGTATCGGTACTTACCTGAGACTAAAGACAAAACTTTACAAGAAATAGAAGCTTATTTCAAAGATGATAAGCCACAAGAGACTGTTATTAAGGAATTAACACCATTCAAGACGAAAGAAGAGTGTTAAGTACCACCTTTATTTTTAAATGTCTTCAAAAACGGAGGATGTTCAGACACTTGAATCGATTTCGACGATTATTTCTTTGGTGGAAAGGGGATACTACAGTAGTGGTCCCGTTTTAATTCCAAAAAAATATTCCGCCAAGGGTGACAACGAAAAAAATTACAACTTCGGGGATGAATCCAGTTTATATTGGATGTCACCCACTTTCCACAAACTTTTGAGGTCGATCTTTTTATATATGTTATTTATTTAAGTATTTTTTTATTATATTAATTGTGATATAAAGAAACTTTAGTCTAGCGTACAAGTATAAAATAATGTACATATACAGGGCGTCGTACGGCTATGGAACACGGAGAGAAAGTACTTTAAATATTGAAGATAGGGTATTTTGTGTCATGGAGGTATTATTTTGTTTATAAAAGTAAGTACTTAATACTTCGCTTTCAAAAGCTTTTCAAAATTACTTACCTCATCTGGGAATCGAGCCGCCCAAATGTGAAATTGAAGTATCCAAAATATAAATACACAGATGTTTACAATTTTATGTTTACGGTCATACTCGACTTAGAATTATATAAAAAAACAATAGCCAACAAAAAACCACGCTCTAGAGTTTGTTAGGATGTTTTACATATACAGTAATCTATTTTTTTTAATATTTTCACTACATAGTGCCTTAGCAATTTTTAATATTTAAATATTCGATTTTTTATCGACCAATATTATTTAATATTCGAGTATTGTATCGTGAAATATTATTTTAGAATTACACAATAATATACTTGAATATTTAAATAATAAAAATTTACACGAAAATTAGGTAATGAACATCCGAGAATGATCGCTTGAGCTTTTTTATAGACAAAATAAATGGACATTTGTTTTTCGATGTCACCTGACAATGACGATGAGGTCAACGATGGAGCATACACACCTATATAATGCCTGTTCACTCTCGCCTTGTTTCTTTAAAGTCCTATCTCCATAATAGTTTATTAATGTATATAGACAAGAGTGGTACTTAATAAAATTATTTTCTCTATGCCATCGAGAGGGGCGTTAATTGAGGCAGTTTAATTAGAGACGTGTCGCGCAGACCCGATCGCCCCCGCGTAGACTCTACATACTGTAGTACGTACCGTTAGCAAATTAACTTGGTCCCAATGTTGAAGAAAGGGAAGACTTTAGATAACACTGTCGTAAATTAACAATAATAGTAGTTTATTAGCAGTAGAGCTCCTTGTGAAAGAGTTCATCCAAGGAAATACTGCCTATTTCTGCCATCCAGCAGTAATGTAAGCATTACTGCGTTCCGGTTTCGAAGAGTAAGGGTTCTGGTGAAATTACAGGCACATGGGACTTATCATTTTATGTCTGAGGGTGTCCCTAGAGTGCCCCTAAGATCTTTACTATTTAAAACTCTAAGCGGCGCTGTAACTGATAGGCGTGTCACTTACCACCAGGTGCGCGACATATTCGTCACGTCACTTGGAATTAGAAAAAAAACAATACCCAACAAAAAACTACGCTCTAGACTTTGTTATTCATGATATTTTACATATATAGAAACATGTTTTTTTCGTTAGAAATTAAATATAGATTGATATTCATTTATTTTTCACCTCACTAGCTCGGACAGGCTTTCTTTCTCATTAAAAATTCGATTCGAACTTGACGATGGACTGTATTGCACCTAACTTTTCTTTCGATGAAAAAAAAACATAATGACACATTCAACTACGCGATTGGTCGTATATCTTTTATGTAATATAAATCCGTTGGTATATTTTATTCTTATTATTGTTGACATTAAATTGACAACGACATTAAATTTTGTTTATTAAAACAGATCTATTATAGTTCAACTGTTTTTCTTTCATCTACCATTTTCTCTCACTCTCAGGATTCTATATTCAATCTTAGGTTCCTTCAGGTTTCAATACAAGCACTAGCGTCAAACAACAACTTTGCAGCGTTACATAACAAATAACTATTTCATGAAATTACTTCCGTAGTTCATTATAATTGAATAGAAAAATCGAACACAAATAAAATTCGTTCGATCTGACAGGATTTGAGCCTTCATCTGTAATTCCAATAAGGCAACTGCTTTGCCAAGTGACATACAGAGTCAGGAAGCCTTACGAAATTCTCTATGCATTAGGGCGGTTACACACGGCGAAATTTAGCAGCGATGCACTTGGTAATCGTCTACCTTTACATACACGCGCGATTTTAAGCATCGCTACCATTGACTTACAATTATATGGATGTCGGGTCCGCGCTAAAAAGTGTCCGAACTTATATATATAGTCATTCACGCTCTAGTCTTCGTTTGTTCGACTGACAGCGAAGCAAGCAAAATTAGACAGTACTGCAATGACATTACAATTTAAATTCAACGTTTTAGATTTGTCATATTCCTTGACATGTCACTACGTTTAAATAGGTTGACTTGGGACATTTTTTTCGTGGTTTTTGTATTAGACCCGTCGTCCATTTATTTGTAAGTCAATGATCGCTACACTTGGAATTTATAGGCGGTTGCATTGATGCCATCGCGCATTTGTATCGATGCAGTCGCGCGTTTGCATCAATGCAATCGCCATAAATCGCAAGATTTACAAGAAGGAAACGCGTGTTTGCATCACTGGTAAAAGTCACCGTATAACTTCTTCGACGTATCGATGGCAAACACTATGATGGTTGCCATCGTGGTGAATGATTTGCCGATCAGCGTACGGATCAGCAGACGTACAGGAAAAGAAGGTATGTCGTGCGGGGAGGTTCCTAGATGCGTTTGTTACAGATTTTACAAAATGTGAAAACGGAATTTAAATAAACAGGAGTAAGAAAGAAAAGGCCTTGTGGAAAAGGCAATAGTCCCCTGTGACGTCATGACAATAATCATCCTACAAACTACACACTAGATGTCCAAAATGTAAACAAAGGGGATAAGGGAGCATAAAAATACATTTTAAATGATTTAGAACATTTATAAAACTGTAATCTGATAAGACTTAGAACAATTCACATTATGCAATATGTATTTTTACTTAATTTCGTCGTATACAATGATTACAATAAAAGATTCTGTATAAGGTCGAAAATAATTTTGTGCTCTGGTAACACAATCAGGCTCAAAAACATTTTTTGTGCCGCCATTTTGTCGTGTCATAGATGTCATTCGTGTCGTGCTCCTTTTCTCGAAATCAATGCTTTCGTGTCTCCGTAATTCGTTTGTTAAATTATTGGGTGTTGTTAAAATTTTTAGTTGTTATTAATATTGTGTTAAAGATAATTAGAAATTGTAGAAAATGAAAATCTCCTCCTTTTCCAATCACGTTAAAAATAAAATATTTAACACACCTGCATTCGTAATTTGACAATGACATTTCACCTTTCTTTGTTTACACGGTTCTTAGGACATTACGAGTCGTACATATAGTGATAGTTTTGTTAAAAGGAGACGGAATAAGTGGCACATTCCGTGTCTTTCTCTTGTGTCAGATGAGATTTCTAAAAACTAATTTCTCATTCAGCGTGTTCATATGAGTTGAATAGGGTAATAAAAAAAATATTGGAACGGGGTTTTTTTTTCAGTCACTTATTCATGTAAGTACTATACTCGATCCTGGATACTTAATATCTTTAATGTATATTCATAAACAAGTTATTGTAACTGTGGTTGTTTATTTTGCAGTCCTACAATCGGAACTAAGGCGACTTTCAGAACGACCTCGGCGCGTGTCTAGTTTGTTTATGAAATACTCGTGCTACAGAAATGGAGAAATTGTAAAGATATGGTATATTACGACATTAGAATGTATCTTTTAAAATTAAACCGTGTATTTTTAGGCATAATATAATTGAAGATGGAGTCACTTTGTAAAATAGGTAACGCGTTTTTCGTCTTTGTTTCGTCTATAAACGTGACGTTCTTATTTTGAAACTACTTGTGGTTTGAAATTTCATTTCGAATAATTAAGTATCAGAAATCTGATATCGCGTATTTTGCAAAATAAATATTACTTGCCACGTGTTCTGATATTATTCATAATTTTTTTATAAATATTTTTTTTATAGTGCACTACTACACTACTATTACTACTACTACTACACTACTACTACAGTATTGTAGTAAGAAACCTGTAAATAGTGATAATCATTTAGTCAATAATCACGAATTACTATAACTAATTTTCCCGATATTTTTAGTTACACACTCCGTGGTAACCGCTCTGAAATATCGGGAAAATACATAAGACACATACCGTAGTAAGAAACCTATATAATTAATATTATCATTAATTAATGTTAATTGTTTAAATAAATATAAATTAACTAATTAATATAACAAAAAAATTATAAAAAAATAAAACTATTCATTAAATGATTATTCATTTAATTTTATATTAGTTTATTATAACAATTTATATACAATTTATTATCTCGCATCGTTCAAAGATTTTTAATATTAATAATTATATTCAAAACAAGAACATGAGCCAAAAATGCAATACAATTTAATATGAAATAATCCTAACCAATCTTCATTTCCTTCTAATTGAATAGCATTCTCCACAGGATTTATTGGACGACACAGTGTTTTGTTTCTGTGGTAGCCGAGCAGTCACGAAGTTCTGCGAAAGAATGCCGATCGCAACCATGATTATATTGTACCGCTTTATTGCAAACGTACTTGCTTTATAACAAATAGTAATAAATTTAAATCTAAAAGGCTTTTTATTGCGTGTAACTGTCTGGAAAAGCTGCTCAGAAATTCTAGATAAGTTGCATTGTGCGTGATTGTTGCGGCCCTCCCACAACACTCGTTTTATTAGTGCATGTTATTTACTATAATATAAATAATGAATAAGTTGGAAGTTTCCTGTACTATGAATATTATCATTAACCCATTTATACGTCCCACTGCCAGACACGTATCTCCTCTCAGGCAAGGGTTTAGGCCATAGTCCGCTATGCTGGCCCTATGCGAG